GTTTAGTTGATTATGCACCACGCCATGAAGACGTGTGAAAGACGGGAGGTATAGCTCCATAAATTCTTATCTTGGGAACTATATGCAGGTGAGTGATCAGCTTCACGCCTCGGCCGCTTTACCTACGGGGAAACAGTCCTCGGTATCCACTGCATACGAGGATCATGCAAATTTAATATTTAAAGAGCACAATAATTCACGACATCAAGTATGCACATGCGTAGAAGGCTTTGTAATCAGTTAATATGACTCAAACAAAAAATGGCCAACTACAGTTATGCACTGATTTCTCTTACCGAATTTCAAAAGTTCGATTCACGGCTTGTGATATATAACAGAGTCAAATTGTGGCCTAATGTAGGCAAAACTGGTTTTGTTACTGTTCAATATGTCTTCACACTGGAAATACCTGACAGCTTCTAATACGGGCAGAACAAATCCAAGAAAATTTTCAAACCAAGAGAGCCGATTTCTGAGCCGAGTAATCCTTAAGTTTGTGTAAACGTTTATTTTGCACTACACAAGCGCATCCTGCCGGAAACAGTGTCTGACTTCTGTCCGGTTCGAATCTCGGACGCAACACCTACTATTCAGACTGGTGTGTTTCGTGACTTCCCACAGTCCTTCTCGTCCTCGGCAAATGCAGTAACAGCGATCTCTTCCTTCCACAAGCATCCCGCTTCATTATTTATTGCAATACCACTCAACGCTATGCAGTCTGAGTTATTGGCAATTAGCTGCAACTGCACTGTGATCTCGCTTCACGCATAATAAGCGATTTAAAGAGGACTGAACTCTCTTGAAGAGTAAGCGAAGTAAACCAACGCCAATCCGGTTACAGTTAATCTGGATGTCGGCTAATCCGGATCGAAATATGAAAAATGCTGTCCACGGTTGGGTACGTACTTTAAAAAGACAGATGCAATTTAGGAAGGCAGATGAGTTCACTTGTCTCTTCAGACAAAACTTTACAGTTTTCTCAAATCTACATTATTGCGTTCAAAATCGAGTACAGCTTCTGAGTGTTCTATCACTGAATAAATATGTTGCCTTTTTATAGTTTTTAAATAAAGGCTATACAGCGATATTTTTCAATTTAGTATTTTCATCGGCACTATTTATATCATTACATTTTACACTCATTTTTGCTCTATTCTTTTGTCTTTAGGACTACCTTTTGTTTTAATCCGGATTAGCGAGGGTTTACTGTAAATGGCCAATGGGAAACGCATGCCAAGCCATCTCGTGCGAGAGCGGATTTCTCTGAAAGAGGAGCCTTTGCCCTTGATCGCGTGGAACTCGTTTAAAGCCAGCGGAGCGTGTCACGACACTGCGCCCTGAACGAGTTGGGGCTTTTGCCCCCCCCCCCCCCTTCGCCGGTGCATGAACCCTTGTCCAGCCAGGTTCTGTGACTCGCACTTTTCACTAAGAGACCACCTGCGATACCTAGACGAAAATAGCAGCAATATACTGAAGTCCCTACATGGGTAGGGACCAGTGACTAGTTCTTACGAGCACATGACTGAAATGTAGGGAGTAACAGAAACTGATCATGTCCTCCCAAAAGTTGGCAACTGCCACACTCCAGGAGACAGCATCTTCACATCATCACGTCTCACTCAGTATACTTGTTCTGCTCGCTACAATCCCAACCTATCGTCGACTCCTTGCTGAACGTGACGGAGCTGGCACCACAATTGAACTAGAGGGAAATATTCCTCAAACTGAAGCGCATCCTACACGTACAGTGGTGCAGACGAGGGCACTGCACTGGAGACGGAGAACATGGAAGATATGTTCTGTGAGCTGTATATCCGGAAGTGGTGATGTAAGAATGGCAGAACAGCGAGAAAAGCATTCACACGTTCAGAATGGTGAACGTCAACAGCAAAGCGTCATAAAGCAGTGATGATGACACCACTCGGTATGCACAGAGAGGCAGCTCAAGGGTGCAAAGTCAAGAGATTACCCCCTACCCCCAAAGGTCCTACAAGCAACTGAAACTTCTAGGGCCAGACGGAGCGGGCTGCAGTGGCGGTAACAAGTCCTGACTTGTACTGGGAAGGCCGGACTGCAGCTCTTCTCAGTTTCCTCGGCCCTCCCCTTCAACTTCCGTGATACAACCTGCAAACAGGTTACTGCCACGTCAGCTATTTGACATTGTATCCCGTCCTGGTCTACACCGGCGTCACGACGCTCTCTAAGTTGCTTAGACTATGTGGCGCCGGTTTGCGTCGCGTTAATAGTCTAAGTTAAGACATTTACTGGTGAGATTGAGCTGGGTATTTCCCCAAGCCGTCATGTCAAAACCCATCTGAAATTTTGCATGTTAGAGTGTTCAATTTGCCATGTGACGATTTTGACAGGTTCTGAAACGCACAGAGAATTCTCGCAACCCTCGAGAGACGCGTCCCTCGTTTCTTAACCTCGAAAACCGTAGGACGTACTTGGGCATCAAATGTATGGTTCGTATTGTCACATATCCTGGTAGCGCAGGATTCTCTGGATTGATGGATCGATTTATTTGACGTCATTATTACAATCACACTCGATATAACAGTTCACACACTCAACTCATTCCGGGATAACAATCCCTCTCTGCGTAGTCCAAAGCATGTTGATTCGCTGCCGAGTCATTTCGCCTCTTCTTCCTCCTTCTATCGTATTCTGGTCTCTCCTGGTACCACAACTAAAATGCAGGGACTATAACAGTCACACTCCAGATATCACTGCACTACAGTACACATTAAGTTGTCAGATCACATGTTAAATCTTCTACGGACTTCCCGTGACTATCTTAGACCGAGAACGCAGAACTCTGTCACTGTCACTGTAGCGCCCTTTGTTATTAAGGTAGCTCCTTTGCACGGCTCCCACGGAGAACACCGTCTCCTACTGTTGTTGATGTATTTTTAGCGCTGCGTTGCCTGGCAACATACTTCCTATATATACGAGCTTTTTCTCGGCGCGGACGGCATGGGAAACAGTTTCCCTTCTGCTGTTGTCTCTATTCGTGTACACGGAACCTGGCAATGCGCTGATCAAATCCGTTACAGTATACCTTTACGCGGTTCGCTTCGCTAAATGTTGAACAAGTTGCATTCGAGACTAGCATAGAAAGTAACGCAGTTCACGTAGCATTCACAACTGCTGTTCGATTGTAAAGAAAATTCCCAAGTGTTAACAAATATTAGTGAAAGTTACCAGTTACCAGACTTCAATTACACGCGTCTGCGGTTTATTCAATGTTGCCAGTGCAAACTGAACATCTGTTTCAAGCACACCCTTGTCTTGCCTGCTTCTCTCTTTAACTCCATAAAACGGTACATCAAAGTTCTCCATGTGCTCAGCTAGGCATCACGCTTTGCAGATGTAATGGAAACAAGACCATAGCTCCGGCCATTCTTATCCTCGGCACAAGGAGGAGGAGATTTCCTACTAGCGTCGTCCTGTCTGTCTGCTTCCTTGTAAGAACGTGAGAGCCAAAACCTTCTGAGGCGATCAGCCATGTCGATGTTGATTTAAGAACCAACGTTTCAGAGATCTCCTACGCCTATATCTTCAGGGTCGCTGATTATATAGCAGTCTGTCAAACCGATGCCTTCACCCGTCACTAACCTATCACTATGTCGCTTAACTTGGTGTCCTTGTTGTCAACTATCTGGTCTTCTTTGAAGCATGCCCTTATATTTTCTTGGGATTTGCCTGAGCTGTGCTCGCTGGAGTGCCCTAATAACCAGCAGCTAGGATCCCATACTCTGATAAGTTTGAACTCTTCCTTTCTGTTGATATTGTTGATACTGTTAACAACAGACAGATATATACAGTAAAACTTGGTTATAGCAACATCGGTTTCTGCGACACCTTGTCTATTGCGTCAAATATTCAATGGTACGAACTAATTCCTCATAAAGCAACTGTTTTTATACCTTGCTTAGTACGACATGCACAAATGCATCAACCTCGTACGTAACGTCATTTTCATTCCTGAATTTCTCTGATATGGACATTGAACGTAATTTAGAAAGTGTGTATTGGGCAAGTAACAGGAAACAGATGAAGATAACTGATTACTGTACTCGTATCTAGGTACAGTAAGGCACAACAATTGATGTAATCTACTGTAATTTGGTGAGTAGGCCTACCTTTAATATACAGTATTAGTGCGGTGTGTATTGTCAGTGAAAAGCGCTGTAATATGTCTTTGATATTACACATTTGGGCAATTCCACGTTAATGTTAGGTTAGTCTGTATTTAACTACGTATTTCACTAAAAAATGCAACATTTTAACTCGGTTTTTGGTAGATTTTTACGTGACTAACATAAGGCTACTGTGGAAGTGCTCATTTCGGTTACAACGACATTCGTTTATAACGACACTATTTTTAGGTCCCTTTGATGACGTTATAACCAAGTTCTACTGTATATATATATATATACACACACGCATGGTCATTCACAACATCGACCCTGATGATGGAAAACGAGGAAATGTCTGAATTGTTGGTTTTTAAATCAACTTTCACAAGGCTATCGCCCGAGAATATTTATTCTCCGTGAAATCTTCAAATATTACATAACCTGAAAACCGCTGAACCAATTTTAATGAAATTTCCTATCACAGAACTTTTCTAAAAATTTGTCAACAGCTCCAGTTTTAGTTAAAACAGAACAAAAATTAATATTTTACATGAAGATGTATACACGCGTTTCTGAGCGCATTTCTCTAAATATTTATCGGATCAAAAATTAACTGACAGAAATGACGTACAGAATAATGGGACACACACATTTTATGTCCAACACAATATTTCGGCAAGTCTTAACAGTCCTACCTTGCTCTATTAACGTTCTGTCCCTCCATCGTACTCGACTGCAGTTGAAACAGCGAGAATTCATTCATGCATTTCGTGATGGCGTTATGACACGTTCCTCCAGAGAACAACCTTTTGCACAGATGGCGACTGTGGGTTTCAAATAGGACAGAACAAGTTTTACCTGCCGTTTCGCCCATTGCCATGTGTTTAGCCGCATCCTCGTGGTCCACTGGCTGGCTGTTGAGGGCCTGTACAGTCACCCTGGCCACGACGTTGCTGATCAGAGTGAGCCCTTTCTCCTTTACGTCACTAAACATATCGAGCTCCACGTCCATCTGCCTCTGGAGCACCTGTCGAAACGTCACAAAGCATTACAATAATCTCTAATTTGCTACAGCCAATCGAGGGCAGTAGCTCAGTGGCCGTACAAAGCAAAGTGTTCAGAAAAGCTTGAGGATGAAAGAAGAGTTTTTGGGTGTTACAGAACGAGGAAACTCGAGGAGTCAGGAAAGGGAAATTACCCCAGGCGGCTAGGCGTCCTGCTAGGATAGGGAGACAAGAATTGTAGCAACCGGATTGTAAAGGGTTCTCATGATGGTGTATAACAAGGAATTACTGGGTTTTCGGACTCTGTCCATTGTCCGGTATTCGAAAAACTAGAGAACACAACGCTTCGGAAACTGAACCTGTTTCCATCCTCAGGTGAGTGGGGGGGGGGGCATCTACTCTGTTGGGCCCCTTAGAAAGAACTAACTTCAATCACTGGACTCTCTGGTTAGCTCTTTCTAAGGGACCCAACAAAGGTGTGCTCCCCTCACCTGAGGATGTAACAGATCGAGTTTCCAAAATATTATAAATACCGAAATGTTATACATCATCCTCAGAACCCTTTAGAATATAACAGATGACAGCCAGTCAGCATGCAAGTTCACAAAGTCATAGTCCGTGATATGATGAATGCTGCTAATATTTGCAAAAGGTGCGACTTTTATGTTCGTAGACGAGCTCTTTTATTCACCATTGGTAGAAGTGTGCCCTCTTCACTCGGCGAACGTTTCGAAAACTGGATCTGTTTCCGTCCTCAGATGAGGGAGGAGACATCTACTCTGTTGGGTCCGTTAGAACAAGCTAACATCAAATCACTGGTCAACCCATGTCAGTATAATTACAGCTATGTATATACCTGAGATCAGGGTGTATCAATGGGAGACAAGAGGAAAATATGCAATACAAATTATGACAAAGCATGCTGAGACCTGAAACTAAGATAGAAACGGAGATGGCTTTTTTTTCGGAATAACTGTAGAGTACGTAGAATTTTGGTGGGGAAATCTCTTCGTAGACTGCTATTTGGAAAATAAAGATGAGGTGGGATAAGATTAAGAGGAATCTTTGTAAAAGTGTGAAGACGGAAGGCGGATGCAACTCGCAAGATCATGTCCAACGGCGTGCTTCTGTAGTAGCGGCTCTGTACTTGCGGATATAAAAAGACCACCAAGAGGACATATCGCCTGACACCCAATCTCACCTTACAGGCACAAGACAAGTCTTCTGGTGATTCTCCGATACTGTACTGCGAACCACCTCAATTCGTATTCACTGTAAAGTAACGATGTTTAGCACGGCGAAAGTGGTGTACAAGTATTCAGACAGGAAGCAATGTAAAGCACAACTACTCGTTCTTCCTTCAAGTAAAGGGCCACAGCAGTGAACTTAGAGCACTATTTACTTCTTACTTCACATAGTTCCGGTGCTCTGACTTCATTCTCCTAGCTATGCAATTAATTTTCAACCTCTCAACCGACACATGCAAGTTGGTCCAGTCTGAATGCCTCTGACGATCGTGTGTATGACAGTAAACGCGGCGTCATTACTGCAGGTCCAGCGATCCAGACAACGGGCCCAGTACTTCTGTTGGGAACGTTGAGTCTTAAGGTATCAAGACGATGGACAACGTTCAATACCACGGGCTGACTGCGAATTCTTCTCATAACGAGCTGGCCGATGACACTCATCGGACATCGCAAAAACCAGCAGCGAGATGAGAGGAGGGGGATGAGATGACAGCACCAGAATCGGTTCACAACAGGACTGTTCTTTACTCTTCCATATATTAGCATGAAAAATTTAACCATGCAAATACCGGTCTCGAGAATTTGACAGATTTACAAGCTTTCGTCACCCGTAAATAAAAAAAAATAAGTTTTTTTTGGAACGCCGTCTGTTTGTTTATTTGCATGTACTCGTATGTGTGTGTGTATGTAGGCAAGTATATACGTGTGAATTGTCACGTGTATTAGTGACTTGTAGACGGGGTTTGGATTGGTGAGTTTATTTACTGAAAATTAATTACAACACTCTCAAGAATACTATAATCATGACACACGAAATAAGGTCTTGAACACATGAACTATTCAGCTGCCTTCTGAATTCTCTTCGACTGACGGCTTCTCAGCTGTCACTGGATGTCTCACACGTAACTCTTCGACTTAAGCCTGTTTTGGCCTTGCCCGGCCTCATTACATAACCCTTCAGCCGGCCGCGATTATCACACTATTCCCAGCAGTTAATGTTATCGCGTTTCCCCGTTAATGTGCTTTCAACAAGTCGTCGCCGTGGATATCGGCTTTCAACTGTTAAAATTACACCGGGTGCAGGGAACCATTTAACCAGAACCGATGTGTAGCAGTGAACGCCTATTCTTGTAGCGCTTGGGAATGCGTTCATCTAGCCGTAGCCTGACAATGGACGTTCGCACCGACTTCGCTATTCCGGCTTTCAGGCGTATGTAACATTATGTATGTGTGCGCGCCGCGCCTCGCTAGCGCCTGAAAAGTTTGACGGATTTTATTCATACTCAGTATTTGCGACATATCCGTCAAAGATCATTGCCCAGTTGAACATTCTAGCTATAAAAATAGCGGCCCTTCACAGAAGCAAAAAACAAACTCGAATTTCAAACGATTTCAATTAATTTTCAGTGATTTACGGAGACCACCTCTCTAAGTAAAACTGCACATATGGTATCTTTAGAAGAGCAATGGTACGTGCACCTGGGGCCCACACGTGTATATGAGAAAGTACACGCAATGCCTTTTCGCCAATTTTTATTGTAAAGGTAAATTTGTCCCTGTACTTAACTAATTAATCACTGCGCCATGAAGGCGTATGGGGACTGAATGCATTTTTTCTTGACCTCGGTACTAATTGGAGGTGAGTGGTCAGCTTCACGCCCCTGCCGTTTTATCACCCGGTACCAACTGGATAGGAGGTTGGGTGGGCACCAGAGTAGATCTGGAAGCAGATAAAT